ACCATTTTAACTCTCAATGTATCTGTCAAATACAGGGTGCTTGGAAATTGAGGAGTGTGGTATATGCCATACAGTATAATATACAATGAAATGCAGTATAGCTCTTGAAATAACTAATATTTAGCAAACTTACTATTCTTGCATTAGTCACACAATATGTATTTCCTGGTTAGAAGGTAGAAAACTTGTTTTGCCCTCACAAATCCACCGGAGCCCCATGCAGTATTCATTAGAAATATCTGCTTCTATCAGCAGGGGTACTGAGACATGATTTGTTACTATGAGTCATTTCCTTAAGTGAGATTGCTGGAAATGCTGAATTAGAAGAGCACGTAACACTTACAAAAATGAATTATATGCATGGTACTTACCACTGTTGCCAATTTAATTGACATTAATCTCAGAGCAATGATTCTTTCAGAGAGGACATATTTTATTCATATATTCTTGATTGGTGAGATTGCTGTCTAAGGCTGTACTTGAAAAGCTAATATATGGCTGAGGCTTATTGAGATGGTACTAGTTTATATTTATTTTACTCATTCATAGACTAATTTAGTCTACAAGATGAATGCAATTATATGATATGTTTATAAGCATCTCTTCAGTGCCCTGCGCCTCAGCCTCATTCTCGGGAGGAGACCATGGTGATATATAAGGGACTGGTGAGCTACATTTAGGGTGACCAGACAGCAAGTGTGAAAAATCGGGACGGGGTGGGGGGTAATAGGGGCCTATATAAGAAAAAGACCCAAAAATCAGGACTGTCCCTATAAAATCGGGACATCTGGTCACCCTTGCTACATTCCCAGAAAGGGCAGCTTCTGACCTCCAACAAGATTATTAATACTAAACCCTTCCTAAGTCAGACATGTGAGTGCCAGACTAACCAAATGAATAAAATCTTGGTAGAGCATTTTACATGATAACATGTACTGGACAAAGGCTTTGGGTACCTTTCACTACATTGCAGCTAGAGAATGGAGTTCTCAGTTACTGAAGGTCAAAAAGCAAAGGCAAAATGCACCCCAGTTGTTCATAGGCTGTAAGAACAGTATGCAGCTCTCTATAGACCATACTTTTGTGGTTTCGTCTGTGTCACGCGTGCACAGACACACACACACACACAAAACAGTCTAAGCCTTGAACCTAAGAAGTAGGTGCAAGAGTCCTGTAAACTCCCTAGAAACAATCCTAGTCTTACTACAGGATGGAGACAAACTGTTTCCTAGAATGGATCTATTAGATCACACAGCAATCACAAATACTGTATTAATAGTGTAGGACCAGATCATATCCTGTGGATCCTCACATAGGGGGCCCCTCTGAGAGTCGATACCCTTCAATGTGAATGGAAAGCATGTCCCCACAGCACCATGGCCCCTCCTCTCCAGACTCCATGGAGAACTTGGACTGTCTGCAGATCTGGGAGGGCAGAGGAAGTTAGAGGGAGAAGACTAGGGAATGCAGATACACATACTATTCCCTAAACCCCGTGGAGATTCCAGTGGGAAGTTAATACAGCCTGAGACAGTATTCATTTTCTTGCAGGCTCCCTCTACGCTGTGGTTTCCCCCAGTCCGAAGTGTGTCGTGTAGTGGGGCAGCTGCCCCAGTCTGGCATGGAAGGGGTTAAAGCAAGCCAGAGAGGCTGCGCAGGGCCCCAGCCAATCCTGGAAGGGCTTACTGGGAGCCATTCAAGTGGAGGCTGCAGGGCAGAGAGGAGTGGAGTCTCTCCCTTCAGGGCAAAGGGAGAAGAACTGGCTCCTAGAGAGAGAAGCACCTAAGACAGAGCAGGGCTGGGCAGGGTCAGCAGAGGCAGGGGAAGCTCTAGGCTGACGACTGCCAGACTGGGGCCCTGACACAAAGGGGCAGAGAAGGTGCTGGGGCTACCGGGAAGTGGCCCAGGGAAGCAGGCAGTAGAGGAGAGTTGGAGGAGGGCAGTAAGTGGCTGCCGCTAGACCAGGGATGGGCAAACTATGGCTTGGAGGCCGCATCCGGCCCATCAGACATTTAAATCTGGCCCTTGAGCTCCCGCCAGGGAGCGGGGTCGGGCCCGTGGCTCTGTGTGGCTCCTGGAAGCAGCAGCATGACCCCGTACGGCTCCTACACATAGGGGCAGGCAGGGGGCTCCGTACACTCAGGGCCGGCTCCAGCGTTTTTGCCACCCCAAGCAGCGATCAGCAGCACTTCGGCGGCAGCTCTACCACCGCCACTTCATTCTTCGGCAGCAATTCGGCGGCAAGTCCTTCCCTCCGAAAGGGACTGAGGGACCCGCTGCCGAATTGCCGCCAAAGAGCCGAAAGTGCCACCCCTTTCCGTTGGCCGCCCCAAGTACCTGCTTGCTGCGCTGGTGCCTGGAGCCGGCCCTGCGTAAACTGCTCCTGCCCCAAGCACCACCCCTGCAGCTCCCATTGGCTGGGAACTGCAGCCAATGGGAGTTGCAGGGGCAGCACCTGGGGATGGGGCAGCGCAGAGCCTCCTGAGAATTTCAAAGAATTCTCCATGTAGGAACCGGAGGGGGGACATGCCACTGCTTCCGGGAGCTGCTTGACGTAAGCGCTGCCTGGAGCATGCACTCCTGACCCCCTCCTGTGCCCCAACCTCCTGCCCCAGCCCTGATCCCCCTCCTGCTCTCCGAACCCCTCAGTCCCAACCCAGAGCACCCTCCTACACACCCAGCCCCACCCCAGAGCCTGCACCCCCAGCCAGAGCCCTAACCCCCAGCCCCTTGTCCCAGCCCAGAGCCCCCCTCCTGCACCCTGAACTCCTCATTTCTGGCCCCACCCCAGAGTCTGCACCCCCAGCCGGAGCCCTCACCCTCCTCTCATACCCCAACCTCCAATTTTGTGAGCATTCGTGGCCTGCCATACAATTTCCATACCCAGATGTGGTCCTCGGGCCAAAAAGTTTGCCCAACCCTGTGTTAGAGGGTCCCTGGGTCGGGGGCCAGAGTAGCAGGTGGAGAGGCCGGGACACCCTCCTCTTCCCCCCCACTTCCCAGTGATGAGAGTGGCTAAGCCAGACTGCAGTTTGCCCTTGGAGGAAGGGGCCCAAAACTCCCCACCTTCCACTCCAAGGGCAAGGCTCATTTCTTTGACCTTGACTTCTCTAACAAATACATTGCGCAACAGATCATATAAACAAAACAAGCCACACCCTACTAAAGCAAGACACTCCATTGCACATCACTTCTTTTTTTGGGGAGAGGATGAGAGAACAAACAACGTGTGACAGTTGTGTAGTCACAAGGCTTAGTACACTACTGGAAGGGGCTCAGATATTTTGCTGATTACCACAGTATAAAAGCCTATATAGGATAGAATAGAACCTAGGACCAACTTCTATTTGCAATTACTTAATATAAATCTGAAGAAATCAGAATTTACACTGGTGTCATACAGGACAGTTGGGTTCTCAATGGACAGGATGACTGGTATGCAGCAAATAAAGGCAGGAATATGAAGTGAATTATGCAGGGGTATGGTCACTGCTCAGTGATCAAAAAAATAAATGTTGAATAGCTGTCTAATTTACCACACACTTTCCAAACTGAACACTGAATGAAGCATGAGTCCTGTGGAAAAATAGTATGTGATCACGTAACTATAGACAAAATTCATCATAATTAAGGCTAAGAGTTTGTCACGGATATTTTTAGTAAAAGTCACGGACAGGTCATGGGCATAACAGAAAAATTCACGGAAACTGTGACCTGTCCCTAACTTTTACTAAAAATATCCCTGACAAAATGGGGATCAAGTGGGGCTGCTGCAGAGACTAGGAGCTGCCTGGAGCAGCTGGAGGCTGTGGGGTACCCCAGTCGCCTGCAGCTCCGGGCGTCCCCCCTGCCTGTGGGGGCTGGGAGCTCAGGGGGTTCCCCACCAACTCCGGGGGCTAGGAGCTTGGGTTCCTCTGCAGCAGCCTGGAGCTGCCCGCCACCCCTGGCAGCCCAGAGCGGCCAGGACCTTGGGGGTTCCCTGCCATCTCTGGCAGCTCGGAGCTCGGGGTTCCTGAGCTGCCCCGGTGGCAGGGAACTGGGGGTTCCCCACTGCTGCCCACTAGGAGCTGGGGGGGGGTCCCCCGTTGTCCTGGGCAGCTGGGAGCTGGGAGGTTCCCCCGCCGCCAGCAGCAGCAGAAAGCTGGGGGTACCCCCACCGCCCACGGCGTCTGGGAGCTCCGGGGGCCACCAGAGGTGGCGGGGGTACCCCACAGCTTTCTGCCCCAGCGGGCGGTGGGGTACCCTGCAGCTCCTGACCACCACAGGCTGAAGTCACGGAGGCTGCTGAAAGTCACTGATTCTGTGACTTCTGAGACCTCCGTGACTAAATCGCAGTCCTAATCATAATGCACATACACAAGGGTCAGAGTTAAATTAGAGCAACATTTGTGTACAAAAGATGGAAGTTAAAAGGAATAATAACTTACTGCATTTTGTTTTACTCTCCTACTGGAACACCTGTTAACTGTTAATAGTATATTCTTTTGTATTAAGTTTTACTCTGTTTAGTAATATTCAATACTTAGCCTGAGCCATTTAAAAATATATTCCCAACTTGAACCCTAACTGCTGAGTTGATTCCATTTATTGTAGATAAATTCTTCACATTTGCCTAGTCCAACCCCAAGGCAGACATGGCACAGGAGATCGCTGGGAGGACCGGATAGGATTTGCCTTTAGCCATTTAAAAATGATGTCACAGAACTTTGACATTACTTTTCCTTCATTTTTATGGAAGACATTAAATACATGTGACAGATTCTTAAAATATTTAAATGAAATAAAAAGCACCCCTCCTTTCTAATGGCTAGATGGTAAAATGCTCAGGAAAGATGAGTATGTAAATTCTGCAAGCCATCAGATATTGATATATTTTTCTGGGCAAGCAGCCACAAGAGGAAATGGGATTTTTTCACTCCTAGCATCTGTCAAGAGGACAGTAGTAATCACATGACTCCCTATTAAATATAGATATAATGGATGAAACCCATTAAAGTTGCTGTGTAGCTAGGATTGAAGTTATGTACAATTCTAGGTACTAAGATAAAATAGAACAGCAGCAAAACAAAATGGATGCGACTAAAAAAATCTAGAGCATTAATTCCCAAGGTATGATGTGTAACTCCCTTCTGGTGTGGTACCTGCTTTTGATGCTGCAATAGTTCTGCAGTCTGCAGCTGTGGTCCATGGTCAGTGCTCTCCGCTGTGGAATGTTGGGAGTAATCCGTCAGTGCAAACACAAGGTCATCCTCCTCCTCATCTTGTTCTGGGTCATCTCCCTTTCTTTCAGACTGAATGCCAAATTCTGGTAGGGCATCGAGGTGTTCAATCTAAAATGGCAAGACAATTAACTCTACAGACACTATTCCTGTATTAACTGTACAGTGACAAACAAAAATCTACTGAAGACTGGAGAAAAGGGATCTCCTTGTGTGTTGCAATTTATTAAATCATATTCTGTATGCTAGTGAGAATGTTATTAAACAACAGAAAACAGAAAAGATGTTTTGCTATTAGGTGTGGGTTTAGTTTACGCAAAAGAGTATTGCAGCATTTATAAATGGACACTCGTCTTGAAGATTATTCATTCTGCCTAATTTGGTAGCACAAACACTTGCAGCAACTGTAGACCAGGAAATGCTGAAAGAAAAGACACCATGGACAGGAGGTACATAAATATTAGCAATACATGAAACAATTACTTAGAAGATGGTTTGGGAATTACATTAATTTGAAGGATAATTCGTCCCTCCCCAGGAATTTTGGTTAGAGCAGCAGATTGAGAAAATGCCTCTCTCCCAGTCATTTTATTTAATAAGGCCAAGATTTCCCAATGTGTGTAGGTGATTCTGGCTGCCTTCTTTCAGAGTGGTGCTTACTGTCTGAAAATCAAACGCCTTTTAAGGGGTCTCAAATTGGCCACCCAAAATCACTAGTTTTGAAAACCTTGGCCTAAATTATTAGGTGCTCCATGGAGGAACACCATAATGGTGATGTGAGTGCTGATGGTGATATGTTTCTGTGGGGAAAAGGAATCAATATGGATGAATCACTGCTGAATTCCCACAAGAAGTGTGTGACTTTACTGCCAGTATGAAAACATAGCACTTCTTCATCTGTATTCCTGAGGGCTTTTTGAGGAGCACACAGTACATAAACGTGAAAAAAGCAACATCACTCTGTGACGTTGTGCAGTCTATATGGTTTTATAAAAACATGATAATAAGTGAATATAATGCAACTGGGATATGCTTTGTGCAAAAGGTCTCTTGTAAGGTATCGTTATAAAGCTTATAATCTACTGAGTGTGATCATCCTATTCGTAGAAATGTACCACTCTTGTATCTAAAACTAGAAATATAAAATATAACTCTGGGGGCCTATTGTAATTATGTAAAGTGTGGGCCAGTAATGATGGTTTGGAATCTTGATGACTCCCATTAACAAGGACCATTGTCTGCAGATGGCTATGTTTACCTGTTAGTCTTCCTGTATATGTGTGTGCTGAAGTGGGCAATGAAATCTTGCAGTGACATGTGATCATGTCACCTGAACTGGAATCCATCTTTAACCTGGTGCTTTTCCAGTGGGGGGTGTGTGTGTGTGGAAACCCAGAGGGACAAAGGGTTCCCGCCTTATGCAAAAGATATATAAAGGGGTGGAACAGAACAAAGGGGAGAGGAGCCATCATGAAGAATCCCCAAGCTATCAACTGAGCTGCAACAAGAGCTGACCAGGGGAAAGAATTGTGCCCAGGCCTGGAAGGTGTCCAGTCTGAGAAAAAGCTTACTGAAGCATCTCTGAGGGTGAGATTATCTGTATTCAGTTTGATTAGACATAGATTTGCACATTTTATTTTATTTTGCTTGGTGACTTACTTTGTTCTGTCTGTTACTACTTGGAACCACTTAAATCCTACTGTCTGTATTTAATAAAATCATTTTTTATTTAGTAATTTACTCAGAGTATGTATTAATACCTGGGGGAGCAAACAACTGTGCATCTCTCTCTATCAGCGTTATAGAGGGCAAACAATTTATGAGTTTGCCCTGCATAAGCTTTATGCAGGGTAAAACGGATTTATTTGGGTTTAGACCCCATTGGGAGTTGGGCATCTGAGTGCTAAAGACAAGCACACTTCTGGGAGCTGTTTTCAGGTAAACTTGCAGCTCTGGGACAAGTGATTCAGACCCTGGGTCTGTGTTGGAGCAGACGGGCGTGTCTGGCTCAGCAAGACAGGGTGCTGGAGTTCTGAGCTGGCAAGGAAAACAGGAGCAGGGGTAGTCTTTGCACATTGGATGGCACCTCCGAAGGGGGTTTCTGTGATCCAACCCATCACAGTGGCGAACCCATCACACACTCAAACCATCCAAACAGATTTTAATCCATTAGCCCACTTATTGCTCCATATATTTGTGCTAGCTGGGGGTTTTGTTTTAAAGATGAGAGAGCAGTAATTCAGAGATGTCATATGGGTCATCCCTCTTTACAAAACTATTTTAAAAAGGCCAGTAACTTTAACTTTAAATTCCATTTCAGTCCCTTTTAAACTCACGATTATGGAGGGCTGGTGTGGCTCCATAGTTGGTTGAGTTGAGGTTTGCATGAAAACAGGGATATCTAAATATTCATTTTGCTCATGACAGAACTAGCAACTCCACACATTCTTGCAGTTTCACTCCACTGAATAAGACAGGCCTGTTACCTCCAGTATGTCCTCTCCCTCCTCTTCTATTTGCTTGCCTTGCTGCCAGTGTTTCAGCAGCCACTTCAGTTTCACATACAGAAGGAAGGTATTCTGCTTGAAATGCCTGAGTTCTTGCTGCATCAAACTTTTCTCCTGACCCCAGGTCTTCTCCTCCAATTTATTCTGCAAAGTCAAGCTCTGCACCTCCAAATCTTTCCTCCGCAAGGTCTGCAGATGCTCCTCCTCCAGCTTTAATGGAACAACACACACAGTATCAATAGGGTGCTGCTGATGGGTGAGACAAACTGAAACCTCTAATTTTAATCAATATTAGCTACTTAATTTGACAAGAGTCCTGACTTTTGAGGAATCAGAAGACCGCCGCTTGCAGCCCTCAATTAATTAACCATATGCAAATAACCTGCTGAGGGAATGTACAGTTAATTCACTTTAAAGATGCATAACAACAATGCTGAAACATAAAACACATTTATGTCCTACATACTTTCCTTCCTCTCTTCATTGCATCTTTTCAATATGTTCCCTGCATGGCCCTGACCTTACAACTGCTTCATACAAAATTCATTTAATGACTGAATTTCCACCTACTCCTACAAAATGAGAGTATAATAATTCCTACAACACCCAAGAATTTTAATTTTTCTCCCATCCCTGCACAGTCACTCCTTTTGTTAAGAATATATCTTCATCCCACTCTCAAGAAACAGAGTTCCTTTGTCTTTTATATTTGGTATCAAACACAAGTCTTGGCCTTTTTACATTAGCACTGAGGATTCATACTTAAAAGGGCTGTTTGAGCTGGCTCATGGTGAACTCCTACAGTTCTGCACAAGGCTGAAGCACAGATGCACACTGTGGCTGAAGACATAAGCATACTGAGACTCAGAATAGTCTGAGTTCCAGCCCCATAAGCACCAAGAATAGCTCACAGTCTCACAGTTTGCAATTTAAACCCTATTATAATTTATTTGACACCAAACTTTGGCCAGAAAGGTCATTTTTCAATGCAACTTCTTACTGTATAAGTGAAAAGCAGGCAATGGACTGACCTGGCACCAATAAGAGTTACATAAATTACCTTTCAGCAGTCACATACTCCTACATGAATGCCAATATATTTCTGTTTTAACTGAATGTGGATGCTTACTAATGAGGAAAAGGCATTTAGAAAAGGAATGCAGAGCCATTGTTTATAGATGCCATTTCATATTGTTTTGTTTCCTGTCATATCATAAGACTATTAAATAACTGCCTCTCTTGTTAGTTACCAATCCAGTACAAATGAAAGCCATAGTAAACTAGCCACCACAATGCCTTAAACCATACAGAATATATCCTGCAACAAACACCTCATAGCTATAGAGAACACTTGAAATTCATCTTCAGGAAAGTGGACAGAAAACCAGACCAATAATTCCTATTACCAATGAAATGAAATGAAATAAAATAAAATATGTATCTAATTACCCCTAAAACATTCAGAATCCTATTTGCGACCTGCCATTCCATGACAAGCACTTTACTAAATAATGAACCCTTTAAAAAGTTTTTAGCACAGAACTAAGCTAACAAAATCAGTTATCCAAAATGCACATACAACATGTTACCTCTTCTGTTAGAGGGATTTTGGAGTAAAACTGGCATATTAATAAATACTCTCAGCAACAGTAAATCCTTGTAAATCAATTCCTGATTGAATCAGGAATATTTACCCACCAAACAATTTACAGGTTCATAATTGACCTTAAAAGTAGTTTAAAACAAAAATAGATATTATGGGCCAAAAGTGTGTGTACAACTCCCAATCATGCCCATGGAGTTGCATACAGAGGGCAGACTTTAGTCCATTGCCACTTAATGTTGCCAGAAACAATACACTAAAAAGGAAACTATTGTAAGCTTCATTTTTGAATGTGTAAATGAATATAACTTGTGTTAACAGAGCCTTGTTCCCTTGAACTGAAATGGACATTTGGTTAAAAACAGCCAGGATCTATGAATCCAAGTCTTCAAAAAGGTGGGGGCAAATATAGCCAATTTCATGTTATGTACACTGAACATGAGCAATAAAAGACAGGGAAGCAAAGCACTGAGAAATAAAGAGGTCCTGATTTTCATCTCCTGTATAACTGGTGTAACTCCACTGACTTCAGGGAGCTAAGTGAGATCAGAATCAGGCCTACAACATCCAACTTTGCTCCTGGAGTTCAAGCAAGTGCTGTTCCACTGTCTCATAGAGAGCTGAAGGGGAAAGAAGCAGCAGCCACTTCTTCTTATATGATCACGAATATAGCAGCTCATGTGGGTTTTTTTTGGCTGATTCTCTATCAAGAAGATAGACAGGGACACAAAGATACAGAAATTAGGTCAATTTACATTCAACCAGCTTCTAGATTCTTGGATGAGTGAAAATAAATAAATAAAGTTGATGCTTTTGGGAGTGAATAGTAGTAACATGTAGACACAATTCCCTTGTTTTTGACAAACAATGTTTCATTGTGCAGGCTCTGGCCAAATGTCTGTACCAGTGGATGGGTTTTGCATTTACCTGAATGATCCTCTCTGTAAACTTTTCTTGCTCCTCTTGGTGAAGTCTCGTCTCCTGCTCAAGTTGAGCCTGAAGCTCCTGTATCGATACATTCTGTACAGGTAAAACATGGGAATCCCTGAGCTGATCAGTAGGACAAAGGGACATGTTTAGTGGACAGTGTGTGTTAATGGTGTAAAAAATCTGTAGGACAGACATCTTCGTGACTTACACTTATACATACAGTTATAAGCAAAGCAGGATGTGCACATATGTAGCAATGCCTTAAATATGTGTGAGGATTTCTTATGTGGCTTCCTAATAAAATATAAAAATAGGATCTTAATGTTACATGTTGTATATTCCCTTCAGGCTTGATCCTGCAGCCCTTTTATAAGCAGTGTCATTGAAGTAACTGGAACTACTACAAGGTTACAGAATCAGACCCTGTTTATAAGCTACTTATAGTATCTGGTAGTGTATCCAATCCACTGTGATGAAAGGTATTCACTTTTAGCATCCTTGCAGAGAGATTAGCCATACTGTACCTTTAAAAAAAAATCAGATAATGTGATCTCATTTATTACATGTAATACATAATGTTCCAGGTTGAAAAGGTCCCTTTCTTCAGATATGGGACAGGCTTCTACACAAGTTACAGCTGTACCTTACTAACATTTCTACTTTGAAAAGTGACTTTAAACAAATCAAGTAGTGGAATCCCTGATTATTGTATTTCATCTTTATTCTAAATGTTAGTCTTGCAAACTCACCCTGGGATCTGACCAGACCTCTCAAATATCTCTCATTTTTAGTGACATTACTCACTCAGGGTTTGTCTACACTACCGTGCGGGGTCGATCTAAGATATGCAAGTTCAGCTACATGAATAGCGTAGCTGAAGTCAACGTACTTAGATCTACTTACCACAGTGTTTTCACTGCAGTAAGTAAGTCGACAGCTGACGCTCTCCCGTCGACTCAGCTTATGCTTCTCGTTCTGGTGGAGTACCAGAGTCGATGGGAGAGTGCTCAGCAGTCGATTTATCACGTCTATACTAGAGTCTCAATAAATCTACCCCCTCTGGATCAATCACTGCCTGCCGATCCAGCAGGTAGTGTAGACAAGCCTTCAGGTTCAAAATTACTTATGTTCCATACCAATTTGGTGTCCCCTTCAAATTTTATTAACAACAATTATTTCAGTCATGAAGCTAAGGTCACAGACATAGTTATTTACACCAAAAAAATTAATCTCACAGCATTTACTTTCCTGCACTAATCACTTTTTGTCTCTCTCATTTTGGGTCTTTGCCACACATTTAGGTCTTGGCTAATTCCCAGTTATGGATCTGACCGTCAAACTCAGTTTTCTTCCCACATGTAAAAGTAACTTGATATGGAAAACTTTGCAACACAAAAAGAAACATTTTTAGTTACCTGTCAGAGCAGAAACAGGACTATTTGAGGCCTGAAAGGGTGCATTCTAACTTTTTATCAGCCAATTAAAGCTACCATACACACTCTCTCTGGGCCAACTGGTTCCTTCTTTAATTGGTACTATGCTGTATAATTGACTTGTGCACGTCTGTTCTATGCCTGAAAAGAGAGATTTTTAATAGAGCTGGAGGAATGAACTGATTTTTTCAGTTCTCTGGCAGTTGTGAAAAAAAAAATAGAAATAAAAATTTCAGTTTGGCTAATAATAAAAAAATTGTGAACAATTTCGGTGAATTGAAAAAATCTATGTAGGGTAAAATGGAACATGTTTTGTTTGACCCCAAACAGACTTTTTCAATCATTTTTAAAGGTCTAGATTTACAAAATGGGAGGGAGGAGGAGCAGGTAGTGATACACTCCTTGTAACTTTAGCCCAGTGGTCAAAGCACTCATCTGGGCTGAAGGAAACCCAGGTTCAAATCTCTTCTTCAGGACGATTGAGAGGTAGTGCCCTGACCACTCAGCTAAAAGTTATAAAAAGGGCACTATCACCATCACCACCACCACCTCCTTCTCCTCCAGCCATTTGGTGAATGATATGTAAGTCTTGAAACTATTAGGTGAATTCATGTCAAATTTGCAAAGAATTTGGGTTTGACCAAACCTGCATTTTTCAGCGCATAAAGTGCTGGTCTGAAAAGTTTAGCCCTGCTCTAATTTTTAAACCCTTATCCCATATACAGAAACTGACCAATGTAAAGTTATCACATTATCTACCATGTCTAATTTTTCTTGTGCATTAATACTTCTACAAACATTTTCACTACATAAGCACAAATTCTGGTGTTGGAAGTAGGTGGGAAACCACTGATTTCAATCGGGCTGCATATATATCCAAGGGCAGATTTTCTTTTCGTTTTAAACTCAGGAGCTGGTTATATAATCTTTAAAATTCTTTGACGACTAATCTCTTCTTGGTGTGCAGGAGTTATATCAAATCAGTTTCCCCATGCAGCAAGAGAAAGATGTTTTCCTTTAGTGATCTTTGTGTTCTTGCTATTCTAATTAGCATTCTTTTAGAATACAATTTATGAAAATCAATGCATCAGGCCAGTTCATGTGCAATTTCAGAAAAGCATGTTGCCTGCTTCATTAATTTGAGATTATCCAAAGCCATGTGATGTCTTAGCAGCAATTTTATCTGGTGAAAACAACTATTCTACAGGTAATTCTTTATTGCCAATAATAATCATTAAAAAACCCCTCCCATATGGTTAGGAAATGGCAATAACAGGATTTATCTACAAAAGTAATTATTTCAAAATACATTTGATTTTTATATCACTCTCTCTACAGTAATGTCATATTTAGGGAGTTAGAAAGATACTGTTTGTCTTGCAGTTAATGAAATTGGAAGCTGAAAATCCTTACACTGGTATTTTGTTTGTCTTTTTCCCAACATGTCTTTACTTATTTGATATATCAATAAAAATGGTAACTTGCTAGAAGGAGTCGATGCTTTGTTCTTCACTAGCGTTAATGGGAGTTACATAGCTACATACACATCAAGAGTAGACCATGCCCGCAAAATGGGACAAGAAAAAAAACCCCAATCTCTTATGCCATTTATCGATAACATGGCAGCATGAGTGGGAACCTTGAGAGTATGAAATATGTAATAATAGTTGGAACTACTGGTGAAAGACTGAATGCACTGTCAGAGGTGATGTAGTTTTATAAGCACTTTTAAAAGTTTAAATCTTTTCTCCTGCAATTGGCCTGCTTCTGCCTTATTATGGAGGATGAATTTTAAAAGCAATAAATTGCATGTGCTCTAATGTAATTTAGTAGACACATGAAGAATTGCACAGCTTTTCATCACTTTGAAACTCAAAGTTTCTTCATATTTTTTATTTATGTTATAAACATTGGGCTTAGTTCTGATAAGTGGCAAGAACTCAGATTAACTTCAGTGGGGAATGGGGCTGCTCAGCCCGGTGATTGTACTTTGAATAATGAATATGAAAATATTTATCTTTTCTGTCTATGTATGCAATTTTAGACGCATGGTACAGTGTCTGCAATTCATCATGCTCATCTTTGCAAATCAGGCCCCTGATAGAACTACAGTATTGTGGTACACCTCTACCCCGATATAATGCGACCCGATATAACACGAATTCAGATATAACGCGGTAAAGCAGCGCTCCGGAGGGAGGGGGGCGGGACTGCGCACTCCAGCGGATCAAAGCAAGTTCAATATAATGCGGTTTCACCTATAAGGCGGTAAGATTTTTTGGCTCCCGAGGACAGCATTATATCAGATGTCATCTGCATAACTGTTGTGGATTTGTTTTTGCAAGCAGCATTGCTACAGCACTGGGAGACAATTATAGACATAAGATTTTCTGTTAACTTCCATTATCTCTCCCTCTTATTAATGCATTTGCTACAACTGGGACAGAAACCACTAGGCACAAATTCCATTTACCATGGTGTCCCAGATAAGACATCCACTGAATAACACTAACTTTATATATGTCAGGACACAAACTCACTAAAATAAAAACACACAAACACAACACAACATGAACTACAATATAGCGTTACTCCACCACAGCACCACTGAACAGCACACTACATTTGCACCTTGACAATAATTTAAAATTTTCAGTGAACCCAAATTACATTTTCCAAAGTGCTTCAGTTCTTGTCGCCTTTGCAGGCCAGTTCCAAAGCTCTGCTGCTGAGACACTGAACACCCCTCTCACCTGTTTTCACTCCAGAAGACGCTAATCCATACTGATTCCCTTACCTCAAGCGCACATTTAAACAAATATCATCCACACAGCCAGGGTTTTGTCTAAATATTATTCGTTGCACTAAAATCTCTTTGCTCCCCCCTCAAAGGCCTGCCTCTTGTCAGCTCCAGTCTATTATTCTTGTGATAGAGCCCTATGGTTCTGTGATGACTTGCTTTACACATTTATCACACTTCGCAAAAGCAAGAAGTTTGCAGAAATTGGTATCTGATGATAAGCCATCCCAAGACCATCCACATAATCCCTTTTTGCTGGACCACAATCAAAACCAACCTGACTAAAATTAAAACATCTGATTGTTCCCCCCCCCCTTTGTTGAATCTGTTTTTGAAGGCTTTTTAAACATATCCAATTTGATTCTTTTGAATTAGAAACCAGCCTACATTCAAGAATTATGAGTATCACATTTCATAGACTACTTGTTTTAGTCATTTTTCAATTCAGAGGCAGCAAAATGAGGATTGTAGATGTGGATGGCTTTCCCCCTCTTCCTCTGAGGAAGCTAAACAATAAACATTTCATATGTGTATTATGTCCCTTTAGTATTTGCACCCCACAATAAATACATTCCAAAATGGCCAAATTTACATTTGAAATCTGAATGTTGCAAGTAAACAATAAGCTAAATTTCACAGCAATTTCTCATGCATTACACATTGCTTTTGCATATGATACACAAATTCTCAAAGGTTACAGCCTAAATTGCACCCCAAAAATTAGTGTGTATACCACATTAATGGTGCAAAATAGATAATTGTGCAGTTATCCACTTGTGTATTTGTTTGCACAAAGAATGCCAGATTTTATTAAAACATGTAAGCCAAAGCCTTTGAAAATCTGGACCATTATTTGGAAAGTACACAAAGTCCTAACGAGTTCACTTAGACTTTGGATATTAAGATTTACATCATAATGGGTCTTTCAGGCCATTATACTGTCAATCAGTAGTGATATTTTACATAGAACAAGAGAATACTATGTATCAAGGTGCACCATTCTTACTACCCCTAATCCTAGTGAGAAGGAATATTGTCAGTAATCTAGTACCAATTTGTCATTCTGCTTCCCACAACTTTGAAAAGTGATGGGTACGTTTTCTATTTTATGGCTTTTTGTTCAGTACACATAATATGCAATGCATGAAGACGGAATACTATATCAGTGAAAAAAGGGAATGATGTGTAAAATTTCAGCACATGGTTGGGATACATTGTAAACGTCATATTACTGAAAAGCCCTCAAATGGATTTACAAAAATTGCCTTAAAGGAATGCAAAGAGACTATCTGAAACAAACAAAAACAGGACAGTCGGCATAAAAGCTACAATTCTGTCCTGATGTGGCCAGATATCATAGCTCTCTCTGATCATACAGAAGATCCCATGTAGATACAACGTAGGAATTAAGGATGAAGTGACACATTTTACTTGAAAATATCTATAATTGGTTGATTTAATTTCAACCCATAAATTAGTTTAATATAGCTGCTTACATTTAATATGCGGACAATAAATAGCAAAACTAGATAAAGCAATTTTCACTAGGCCATTCTAAAATCTAAGTGTAAAACATTTTTCATTGTTACCCTTTAGTACTAGAACTTGGTGAAAACATTTTTCATGAAAAGTTACCCAAAAAGATTTTTTTAAAGGATTCTGCCTTGGTTATGGCTTTAGTGTTCACTTCTTGCAAACATGTGAGAGGCAAAAATTTCCTGTCATGTTTGGTCACAGAAAGTACGTGCAAAGAATATGAAAGTTGTCTATGTGAGTAATCACAAAATCCAAATTTAAAATTTATGCATGACTATTTGTGCCAGAAGTGCTTATGCACTCATTCAGCTGAGAAACAGAAGCAATACCATGTGGTTTATTTGCCTAACCTTAGTTAAGCAATACAACTTGACTTTTAGAACATCAAGTATCAAATGCTCACAGCAAACTGTTTGTGACCAATCCAAAGATTAAAAAAAATTGAGGAAAAATTGTCTACTACATTTGAAAAAAATATGAGGAAATTGCATTCTGCTTATAGATATTCCACTAACAGAAAAAGAGATGAAATTTATCAGATGAAATATCTCAATTTTCACTGATCTGTATAGGTTGCCATAGCAATCTTTGATCTATGCTATGCATTTGCTTCTTAAAGTATTGTGCTACTTTCTCTAATCCCTCTGCCTCTTTTACTGATAACAATTCTTGTTTACTCACTTGATTTCCCTCTGGATTTTACAGAACCAGTTCTCCCACCCACCATAACAGAGCTCAAACCATGAGTAATGTATTGAATATTCACCTCAGTGGGCGCTGGCCTCCTCCTGACTACCAAAGCAATTCAATTACTTGTTTTCAGCAAGAAAACAAAGTCCCATTCTTAAGACAATTTCAAGAAATAATTTCCATTGGACTGTGAATCTAACCCAAGTCTTCAATATGCAAAGACATTTTAATAATACTGTTACACTAACAACAGCAGTGCAAAGACCAAACAAAGGCAGATGTTTACAGTTAGGCTACAGGGCGGTTCAGGCATAAGGCAGTCTTCATCTATTGTATTTAATCAAACAATTAGGCTCCCACAATGCTTATTTTTCAAATAGTTTATACAGGAGAAATGAGTAAATGGAAGCTGCTCATGGGAAACGTTCCCTTTAAAATTTGGCTTGGAAAAAAATGGACTTGCTTGCTTACAAAAGAATTGTTTGCATAACTGAAACAAGTCTATCTCTTTGAAAGGCCATACACAGTAAGAAGAAAGCTAATCATTATCACCTACTGGAGCTGTGTGAAAATTTTCATTCCTGAAACAAAACTAGGTAGAAGTTTACTTTTTGACATTTCTGCTTTTGGACATGAATTTTCATCTCTATTCTTTACAATGACAAAAATAACTTTTTGCATTTGAAAACTATGTTTTCTGCTCATTCACCTGGCAAAAAAATAGGTGACTTAGTATTTCTGGATTTTGCAAACTCAGTCTCAAAGAAAATAAATTTAAGAAAGGAAAAGCAAAAGCAATTTAAAAAAATCACTTGGGGAACTTTATGCTTCATTTGGTTCTCATTTTATGTTTTCATAGACCTCAAGGCCAGAAGGGAACATTAGATTATCTAGGCTGACTTCCTGTATAACTGGCTTCATCCAGTTATCCTGTATTGAACCAATAACTATGAAGGTGACCAGCTCCCAGGTGGAATACTGGATGATTTTCATGGCATTTCAAACCACGGGTATTCCCAATCATTTCAACACATGACAGTGTAATGTAATGTTCCCCGTAGCTTCAATAAATTGTATTTAAACAAGTTTGCTTGTCACTAATGCCTTCTTACCTCGGTCCCTTTTATGAGTGTCCCATCCACACTCGCCTCTCCAGCACAGTTGGATCTCGAGTGGATATTCTTGTACCTTCAGTTATAGCTACCTGCTTTTGTGTGCCAGGCTAAGGTCTCCTTGATGTGAAAACTACTCCCACCATCTGCTCAGCTTTTGACAGTTTACTTTAGGTAACATCTCATTTTGGTAGATGGCAAACCGTTTGTGCCAAAATTACCCAAGTCATGTAGCTTGATAAATATAGGGTTTATAATACAAAGAGAAGGTTAAAATCAGGCAGCAGGGAACTACTAATGGTAAGAGTGTTTAAACAGAAAGATTTTAAACATTAACTCAAATCATTTTCTGATCCATACTTGCTGAAATTCTCACTAGGGACAATTGTTCCAGATATGTATTGAATGAAAGGACTCAACTCCCTCATCTTCCAGTTTTCCACATCTAAGGAGAAAGTTTGACTCCCAACCACTGACTTACTGTTATTTATGTTTTAGCAGATATCTGTTTTGAAGTTTACCTTTGATGGGTAAAGAGAGAGAGGCAGTAAATTAAATACTACTTATGCTACTCCCATCAACTGCTGGCAAGAAGGTAAAAAAAAGGTTACCTGTGCTCAGTGAAGGAGAGCCACTCTGCCTTTGAAATTCAGGATGGAATTGATCTGTTTGGCCACCAGCCAGTGAGGAGCATGCCTCCCCGCCCCGCTCTGCCTCTGATCTCTAGTGCCTATTGTCTGTCCATTACAATTACCAGCTCTCACAGCCAGCATCTTCCTTCTTCCAGATTGAATTATCTGCTTCTTGTATATTTTAAGGTCTTTATCTACATGGAGCTTCAGAATTAAAGAACCATGTTTAAACTCAGCTCCCTTTAACAACTTCTTATTTCCATTTAAACCAGTTTCTAGGTTTGGCAGGCCAGTGTGAATGGGGCTAATCTGTAGAACAATGTTTAAATGCCACTTGCTAGTCTAGGTAAGGAGATTGACCAGACAGTACAAAAAAAGCAGAAACCATGTTGTAGCCCAGTGGTTCTCAATCAGGAGTCCGGGACCCCCTGAGGGGCCACAAGCAGGTTTCAGGGGGTCTGTCAAGCAGGGTCAGCATCAGACCCATGGGGGCCCAGAGCAGAAAGCCAAAGCCCCACCGCATGGGGCTGAAGCCTGAGGCCCTGAGCCCCACCACCTGGGGCTGAAGCCAAAGCCTGAGCAGCTTAGCTTCATGGGGCTCCCACTGGCATGGGCCCCAGGCAATTTCCCTGTTTGCTACCCCCTAAAGCCGGCCCTGGCTTTTATATGCAGAAAATCAGTTACTGTGGAACAGGTGGGCCGTGGAATTTTTATAGCATGTTGGGGGGTCCTCAGAAAGAAAAAGGTTGAGAACCCCTGCTGTAGCCAATCTGTGTTTATACCAAATCAGTTTAAGCTACATTTTAACCTGGTACAGCAAAGCATGCCTTGAGCCTCTGAGTGGGGGAGATTTTAAAATAAAAATGTGTTAGCTTTTATATTTGACAAATATAGAAGTATGTCAGACCGACAGCATCTGATAATTCTGTTTAAATAATTTTTTTGAGACTGTATGCTGTCCTGCTGCCTGTTGGGAATTACAGTGCTGTGCACTATACAGCCCCATCCTGGGCATCTTTAGCCTTCAAAAAATTTAAAATCCAAGATGAAACCTGGGGGCACGGAAGCACAAGACACACCATCTCCCTCAAGGGCACAAAGTCCCTTCCAGAGAGCATACTGTATTTTATTTTATTTGGGCCTTGAGCCAAATGTTATTCTTCCATCAGGCAAGGCTACTGGGAGCAGTGTGATAAGCCCCAAAACAAGAGTGCATTTGCTTTTGTGAAATTTATGAATATTTAAATATGTTTGCTGAAAACGTCACAGCAAAGTTGCAGTGTTTCACCTAGCTTGTTCACCCTCCCTTCCCTGCCCCCTCCACTTCTGTGGCTGAAACTTATATCCCCTCCAAGGCAGCAGGAAGCAGTTAGTAGAATGGGCTGCTGTGCTGACCTCTAGACTGAAACAGCCCTTGTCGCCTGGCCTGTAGAGTTTAATGTCTCCATCAGCTCTGCGGTGTGGCTCGGTGGTGGCTCGGTGGTGGTGAATCTCTTGCTCCTCTCCACGATCTTGGCTGAGCTGCCACTCCATCTGATCCCTCAGTTTGGACTGTTAGGTGCATGGGCGGTTTATAACAAAAACAAAGGACAGGAGGGAATAAAGAAAACAAAAATGGGTAAGGTAGACAACTGGAAAAAAAAACTACAAGACAAAGAAAAGCGTGAACAGAAAAAACAACTTAAATACAGTGGCATAAGAAAGTGAAGAGAACAAAACTAAAATGAGGATGAGCAAAATGATGGGCTGAAACATCTGAAAAGCAAAAAAGAGAAAGAGAGGAAAAAATAATGCAAACACTGGTTATGAGGCGCATGCAATGAGGATGCATGAGTCAAACCAACAGCAAGCATACAAGTCATGAAGGATACGGGATACAAGGCTCTTCCTTCCTTACTTGTGCTGTGCAGAAAAGCTATATCCAGTGTGGCAGTTGAGACATGCGCCCATTGGCAACGCTTTACGAAAGGCAGTCCTTCGCTGGCTAGTGCTTCTCACTCGCCCCTCGGTTATGTGAGTGAGCTGTAAGCAGGCTTTTCAAAAAACATCACTTAGAAATTTTATTTTATTTTGTTTTTTTGGCAAGGCTTTTGAGAACACGCCTCATTCTTTTAAAAGAGAGCACAATAAAGAACTCTATACATTCATTAGCAAGGCTTCTGATTGCTTTTGACAGGAAAATTTACTTTGGATTTTTTAACTAATCACATCTTCATCAGGAAATGTTGCTGCTAGAGACAACAAAAACCCCAGATACCTATTGCTTTCATCGGATTAGCCTTTTTACCATGAGGAACCGCCTCTGAACCAAAGTAGTTGAGCATAAAAACATTAAAAAGGGTTTGTTTTACATTTTAGACTGTAATACACTGCCAATTTGAAATCATAAAGCAGCTGTGTGCGAAATTAGCTCTAGAGTAGCAATGCCAGCAAGAAAGAGAAACAATAAGCAGAGGGAAAGCAAAGAAGAAGCCCACTTACCTGGAAGTCTGTAATTAACTCCTTTCCTAGGTTACCAATGGGCGAGTCTCGAGACATGGATGTCATTGTGGACAGAAAACTGGAAGACTCTGTCAGGTGGGGCAAAGGAGAGAGGTCTTCCATTTGTTCTTTGAGGCCTTCCCCGATGTGATCAACCTTCTCCAGGAAGGTCTGTAGTTCTTTACGGAAAGCTTTCATCCTTGAATTGATAGTGTCCAGAAGTTCTGGTTCATTTTTATCCTCACCTCTCTCTCCATCACTTTTGAAACCCTGCTCAGAGGAGGGACTGCTGGTGATGTGCACCTTGGCATCATAAATTAAACTATCAGTGTCAGTGATGAGATGGAGCACTGTCCTTTCAAGCCGTTCAGCCTCTCGTTTGATGTTAATTAAAGACTCAGTGTCCTCTTTCACTCTCATTAACTCAGTAGAACAGAGGTCGCTAACTTCTGATGGCTTACCACTCTCAAAACCTGACGTCTTCTCATAAACTTCTTCTGAGTCACTCTCGCCCCCAATGGGTCCTTCTCTCTTTGGCTCAGTTGGGCGGCCCTCTTCACTGTCACTCTCTTTCTTTCCTGCATCACTCTCAGCATCACTGTCCCTGGGACTTGAAGTGCGCAGCCCTAGGTGAGAGACAAGATCATAGCGCTGCACATTGGACATCAACACACGATTCTCATACTGGAGTTTCATCACTTTTCCACTCAGTTCATTGATTTGCATCCTCGCTGATTTCAACTCCTCTTGTAGGGATCCACTGCATTTAGAGGCACCATCATCCAGCCAGCTGGACTCCTGACTGGGCTCAAACTTGAATTTGTTCAGTTCATTGGTTAGTTGTTTGTTGTGATCCTCAATCTCAGAGATCGATCTCCTCAACAGCTCCGCCTCTTCTTCAACAAACTGCAAGTGACGGCGCAGCTCTGTTGCCGACTCCATGGAGTCACCGTATGGCGAGGTAGGAATGCTTGAAATGTGGTCCCGGCTAAGACACTCTCTCTCATACTGGCATCTCATGTCCTCCATCTCAGCTTTAATACCTCTGTTCTCCACCTCCAGTTCAACTATCTTCCTGCCCAGTATGTTAGCTTCCTCTTCCACCAGTTTCAGACGAAGTTTTAGCTCAGCCTCTCTGGTGCTGGGTGGCCCTCCTGCCTCCCCGATAGGGAGTGGACTATCCACATCTCCATAGATGGACTTGTACTTCTGGAGCTCCTGTTCCAGTTCATCTTTCTCCCTCCCCAGCTTGGCCATTTTCTTACGCATTAGCACTGCTTCTTCTTTGGCAAACTGAAGCTGGCACTTCAAGTCAGCACTGTCCTCCTGCCAATAGGAAGAGCCCCCCCGCAAAAAAGAATTATTATATAATAAAGGCATAATCAATTGTTTAAGTACCAAAATCTTCACATTTTTTCCTTTGAAATTTCAAACATACATACAATTGAAAGAGAGAGAGCAAGAGCGCACGCTGTGCAAATCACAAATAAAGTTGATACATTTCAAGGCTTGGGCCTGGTAAAATTAACATAGTTTCCAGATGAATAGAAAAATCATAGCATAACTGTGCTGATGTGTTTTGCAGACAACAAGGTCTTATCAAAGATTGCACAAACTTTACGAACAACAAAAAATGATTCAAATGAAACGGTGTAGTATTTTGTTAGAACTATTTCCTTTTAATTTTAATTATAAATTAGATAATTTTTAGCATGCATGAAGCAGAGGCTAACTGTACGAATGAGGTTGCTTCTCATTTCTCCATTCAGTCGTCTTCTCAGCAGTGTGTCAAACATTCGGAAGTGTGTCAAACTGTGTGGTTGTTTTGCCATAATGAAAAGCATGCACTAGACTTTGATTAAAGAATCCTCACAACATTTTGTGACATAGGACATGTTTGTAAATCCTCTTGAAAATGAGAAGCACGATTGTTGTTGCTATTGTTGGGAAATAGGATGTGACCATCATGTCACCAGTCATATAAACTATGTGTGAGCCCAGCTCTCCAGAGATGACAGTGAAAAGGAATACATTAACTCAGGTGACCATACATCCTGTTTTAGCTGGGACAGTCCCCTTTTTAAGCTCCATCCTGGACGTCATGACTTTTTTGGCAAAACTGGGCATTTGTCCCGTTTGCTCTTACCCTAGCAGGGTGCAGAGGAATGTTCGGGCAAGAGCAAATTGGACAAAATGCCCAGTTTGGCCAAAAGAGTTGTGACATCCATGCAGTGCTTAATTTGTAATGAAAGAGGTGCCGGGGTTCAGCTCCGGCATAAATTAAGCACTGGCTGGGGCAGCTGGAGAAAGGCGGCTGCTGGCCAGCTCCGAAGGCAGGGCTGCCTCCAGCTGCAGCGCAGAAGTAAGGGTGGCATAGTATGCTGTATTGACACCTTTACTTCTGTGCTGCTGCTGGCAGTGGTGGCGCCCTCAGAGCTGGACGGCAGGAGAGTGGCGGCTGTTAGCTGGGATCCCAGAGGCGCAAGGGCTATGAATTGCCAAGCCTAAAGGTGCCAGGGCTCAGCCCCAGCACAAATTAAGCACTGGTTCTGTGACATTGGCTTGGGCCAATCCTGCACAGCGATGCCAGGCAGCTCATATTCTCTCAATGCAGAGAAGTGAGGAGAGGGCAGGGGAGGAGGGAAATAGGAGCAGAGTGGGTCAGGGAGAGGGACAGAGAGAAGGGGATGGAGAAAAATAGGAGGGAGAAGGACTGGGGCAGAAGGGTCATATCCATTCCCAGTGTCCTATTTTCAGTTTAGGGAAATATGGTCATCCTAGCACCTCTGTAAAATCCAAACCCAGCCCATTAGAAAACTTTCACTTTAAAGCAAGCACAGTCTCTTAAATAAGAGATTTTGTTTTGGGGATATTTTAAAACCACATCTCTAGTGTGTATTACATAGAAATAAGAGGCAAGATTAAGTAAATTTTAAGATGAACTATTCTCTTGCATTATTCACTTTTATTATTTGTCATGGAGATGTAGGTATTTGGTCTCCGAAGAGACGCAGTTATCAGCATCAGTATAATTATGGAAGGCAGTCTTTGAAAGATAATTTCTTGGAGGTTGTAGGTTTTGTCAACGTTGCTGGAAGCAGTGTTTTCCCCAGGAATTGAAATGGGGGGGGGGGGGAAATCGAATTTACAGGGGGGGAGTCAGGGCCGATGAGGGGTGAGACCATGAGAGTGAAGGTGGTCTGTATGGCACCACAGTAAAAACTGAAAAATGTTTCATGACTATTTTATTAGATTTAACTCAGGTTTTAAAATCATCACACAAATTAAGGTTGGCTACTCGAGCCTTCTATGAAGCACTACATCTACATCTTCCTTGGTTTCTTGTTTTAATTTTGCACAACTCTTTTAATGAACTTCTTGAATGCAATGCATTCATCTTTGGTGGCTTCTCGTGTGTCCGGTACTTCCATTCCTTCAATTAATATGCTCATTAGTTCATTCACATGATCAGGCAGAAGGCGACTTCTTTCAGAACACAAAATTCTATTCAATGATGAAAAAGAACGCTCAACGGTAGCTGTTGTGACTGGGAGTAGCAAGAGATGAATTCCTACTTCTTTCAGCCCAGGAACACAGCATAAAGATCGGGTCGAGCCACTAGTGATGATAAAAAAGAAGTTGAAGTCAAATTTTCATTCATTTGTCATATGATATTCTACTCTGTGTTCAAATTCTCTATTCTGTCCGAGCACATGGCAGCCCCATTGCTGGTAGTGCCTCACTACACTCAACTGTCTGTGCTTTATAGGACAGGGATCTGTAAAAGCTACGTAGAGGTTGAGTAGAATCTAGAAGTCGCTGCTGTCGACTTAAGAATCAAGTCTGTGTACTTTTTCAGTTGTCTTAACAAACACTTTTTGTTCTCTTCACTTAAGGATTCAATATAAATTCCTTCATTAGTCAACTTCTTGACTGAAGTCTTTGTTTCTTCCAGTACTTTTTCAATGGATAGATCTCTGATTGATCCAAATGTAGCTTCTATTGCTGGACAAAGATCTACTATTGTTGTAGCAGATGCCTAGAGTGGTTTCAACAGTAGACTTACAAGAGAGAGAATGGCAATAGTCTTCTCTGAACATAGTAGCAAAATAATCCACCAGCCTCACTACTTAGATCCTCCCATCTTGGTAGATACTTTCCAAAGCCAGTAATAACGGCTGGAGTAATTTTAAGACAACAGCCAAGGATTGCTCATGAGAAAGCCAGAGGGTTTTCCCAGGTTGGACTAATTTGAACTTCAGTCCCAGTGTATCTTCTATATTTTCCAAGATATTCAGTCTTTTTGGACTCTTGCTGAAAAAAGAATATAATGAAGACATTAAATGTATAGCTTTTTTAATGTCTTTTGAAGAGTCTGCAGCTCATACTAGCGCTAGTTGGAGTAGATGGCCTCTACAGTGTGTATAGGAGAGATTAGGGTTACACTTTTCTCTGAGCAAAGCTTGTACTCCACCCTGTCTTCCAGAGAAGTTTGCAGCTCCATCAAATGCACAAGCAGCCATCTGTTTGGGGTCCAATTGACAAGCATTTAACTCTTCTAAGATGTGGGTTGTCACAGATGCAGCTGATTTGTCTTCTATAACTTGAACATCTAAAAATGCATCTACTGGCCTCCCATTGACATCAGGATAACGTACACAATGACTTAATACTTGATGCCCATTTGCATCGGTGCATTCATCAGCCATCCATGCAAATTTTTTGAATGTGGTGAGAGAGTTCTTCACTTTTTCAATTGTTGAGTCTTTCACTGTTGCACCACATGCTTCTAGCCAGTCAGTTGTGTTCCTAGCACAAAGATAGTGAGCATTTGCTGGTCTTGTTCAGAACAAGTGTTCAACTTCAGGATGAACAAGTGAGGCATAGACTGGTTGGATATTTTGGGTTCAGGAGGCTAAAGGGGCAGACTGTGTGTGGCAGGGAACTCTCATCTAACTT